GCTTCCAGGCTTGGCAGCGGCGCTGGGATCGTTGTGTTCACTCCCAGGGGAACTACTTCGAGGGTGATTGATGGATTTAATACCTGAGATAGTGTACGGGTTTTTATAGGCGCAGTCTAGAAACTTTCCGATCGCACCTCGTATGCTGTAAAAAGCCTCCTTGATCGTGGATCAGCTCATCACCAGGTTTATACCACTAAATGACAACAAAGAGCAAACGCCGAAAAAGCAGACATCCATTCATCCACGCTGCGAGCCGGATAAAAAACAACAGTGTTTGGGCTTGTCCCTACCTTCAAGAGAACACACCACATCAACAAAGCAAAGATCAGTAGGATCGTAATATACAGCAAAATAATCTTTCTTTATTCTAAGAACCCAATGAACCCCATAAATACACTCTGTGGGCAGAGTGCCGAGTTCTTCAAAGTTTAAACAGTGTAGTGGCTTCAGAAAGCGCTCAGGCGTGAGGCCGCAGAGATCGGCCTACTTATTTATACACTAATTTCCTTACTGATACGATGAAAATTCTTCGTTCTTTAACGCGATTTCGGTTTCGCCTAACAAAGCAATATCAAGTGCAGTCGTAACGTATTAAGACCGTCTGATAGCCTCTTCTCATTCTCTTATTCCCTGCAAAATGGCGTAGCGGTAACGCTTTGGACATACTTCCAATCTCGATGTGACCATATGTCGTTCTGGATCTGGAATGTCACATCGCCCTGATGATGGAGGCAACAAGGACCTCTGGAACGTCGGTACACATCTACCTGACTATAAGGCGCAACAACCCAGAAGACAACTATCTTCAGACTCGCCGTCGTAAAAACCTCAAATCCTACAATTAATGTAGGCTACAATGATCGCTGTTACTGAGCAGTTCGTAGCACGTAGTCGGTTAGTCCACTCTTGCTTCTAAATCCATCGAAAACTGCCAAATTCAACGATTGAGATGAGGAAATATACTGATATTATGCAGTCAATACTTGAAATTCACAGATAACAGGTACAAAGGAGGAGGATCTGACAAATCTAAATTCCCGTTTTCATTGTCTTACGTAAATATGCATAAAAGCCTAGTTTATTTACAGAGGAGTTTCAGACGGTTAGCGCGCATGTCAGAGATAACAAATGGATACAAAATGTTAGCAGAAAATCCCGAAGGGAAGTTGACCCTTGGAAGATCTATACATCAATGGGAAGATAATTTTAAATGTAACTTTAAAGATACGGTGTGAATGTGTAGACTGGATTAATTTGCCTCGTGATGAAGATTAGTTATGAGCTGTTGTAAACAGTAATGAAGTTTCTGGTTCCTATAAAAGCTGTATCTTGCTTAGTGCTGTATCAGTTTGTCCTGAAGTGGGCATGTTTAAACAATGAAACCCGGAAAAGCTTTTAGAAGGACAAAGAGCCTTAAAATTGCCTGAGTTCAAGTTCAGATTTGGTTTCTCTCCTACATAACACAGTACTTGAGCATACAAGGTAACTCGATTTATCTAGTAGGTCTATTTGCATCGCTAAAAACCTGCTAACTTAAAAAAAGGGTTCAAATCGAAGGTGTTTCGTGATTCTTCAGTTTCTCACGACGACGAGTGTGAATATGGCTATCTCGTGGATTGCTTGTACTCTGGTAGATATTTATCGAGATTTCAGCGGAGCGTATTACCTCCATCATCAGGACCAATAATTACCACACTATACAAAATCCCAGAAAGAAAACAGACGCCTTCGAAAACATTTTTTACACAGTCTCGCTGTTAAAATTGCAGGTTAATGTTCCATAATATTTGCAGTGTTAAACATAAAAAGCAGGTTAAATTCAGTAAATTGACAATATCAATACAGACCTCACATCTGAAAGGTCAATCGTTAGTCTTAAAAATACGAATACAAGTAATAATTCTTTGAACAAGAAAGTAATGTTTAGACGTTTGCCATATTAACTGTAATTTAACACATTAATATTTATGCAACAACATTGTCTATTTTCCGAAAAAAATTAATAGACACTGACATACTAAATGAGCAATAAATATTCTTTTCAAAATTAAAGGTCTTAAAAAGACAGCAAATGATCTGTCCAGTTTTAATAGAAAGAGCAAAGGAACGAACACAAAGCAGTTCATTAACTCATCAGTGCAAAGTCATCAACAGATCCTCTTATGCAGCTTCCTATAAATACGCAAGACGAGATGGACTCCCATGGAGAGACGCGTAATGCGTAAAGAATTATGCGTTCACCTGGCTCAGGACAGTGGCCACTCGGTGACTACTGTGAACTGAGTCGATAAAAGATGAAGAATTTCTTAACTAGATGAGTAACTATTAGCTTTACAAGAATGTCGCTCCATGGAGTTATCAACTAACTCTGACGTTAACTATATTTATAGCCCATTAGCGACTGCGTGTTGAGTCCGGGAGCTTTCGCATTTTGCCCGCAAACAGCATTATGACAGCCGCTTGTATCTAGGAATAAACAAGTTTTACTTCCCTAAATAGCATCAACGGACTGATCCTAGAAATGAAGATGTGGTCCGGAAATTTGATGACAAGTAATCGAATTTGTAAATATTATTCATTGATTCAAACCGAAGGTTCAATACCCCAAACACATAAACCCGACAACAAAATCGATAATGAGCTATTGCAATGCAAATAATATTCTTGTCATTATTATTCGTTTTAAAAAAAACTCCCCATCAGTGTCCTAACGTTCCAAATTACCGATTTATATGCGGTATTCTCCATCACAATTTTGCATGGATTACTTGTTTCTCCCTCATCACTTTAATGTCCAATCAATACTGACTTCCATAACGCCTTTAATAATATTTTTAACAAAATATCCCTTCACTGCATTGTGGTTCTGATGATCAATAAATTTAAAATTGCAGACTGAACAATGCAGGCAAGCCATATGAATTGGAATCTGCACGATGGTGCGTCTAAGCAATAATCCACCCTCTAATGTCCCTGGTTTAGTCGCAAGTTGTAGCAGGTGTCTACACAGAGGGGATATTTTCGAGTTCTGTTACGTGGCCAAGTAATTTCAAGACGTCACACAATAGCCGTGACCAAATTGCATGCTTCGAGTCCACGGAAGGAATTCATGCACCCGTGACTCCAAGTCAGCAGCACAGCGTCTGCCTTTAACGCTACGGACTTCCTGCAGTCCTTGCAAGTCTCAAGATTACAGTCGTGGACTGTATCTTCCGAGCAACGAAAGGACTACAGTACACTCTCTCCCACTATTGTTGAAAATAACAGAATGTTACAATAAAGGTAGTACAATGATTTTCTTTCAGTATGGCTCTTTTATCTGGACGTCATCCATAGATCAATATTCTAAAACGAGACCATTTCGTTTCGGGAGCGAACTCTGCTCCCATCTTCAGGTCAAATTACCTATTCTTTTGGGTCCGATAATAGGGGTTGATCCCATTTCCGGCCCAGGGACCTGAAGACGGTCTTGTTTTAGTATGTTGAACGATGGCTCAAGTGGAGAGAAACAGCAATACTGAATTAACACGCCATCGTTAGAAACCTTCACAGGCATACTCACTTTCTTTTTAGTTTCAAATTTGAAACAACTGTTATTTTGCGATTTCTACACTCTGAACTAAAAAAAATCGAATAAAAGACGCAATATGATTGGCCTGTGCACCAAACACAATAATTATCGTTATTTCAGTGCGCGGTCCCCCATATGCGTGATAGCGTTATCCAGATATGTCACCGTTTAAACACACAATGTTATCACAGCTGAATAATAAATAAACCACATTAAATTGTAAATTACGGACAAATGGTTCACGGTTGCAAATATAATGTCCATCAGGGCTGCATTTGTGCGCTACGCTGCTTTACCAGATATCTCCACGGAGCAGAGACCTTCTTCAGAAGTTGATTGGTCAAGAACTTTTGCACCTTAAATATAATCCGAAGGATCATTAAGGTATTCACAACAGTGTACCATTACACCCTGATCACAGCCAGAAAAATAAAGTTCACGCCTCACATACTAAATATCTTGTTTTATTGTAAAGTTATTCTTCCATCTAGGCCCAGGTTTACTAAGTAGTCCCTTACCTTCAGGTTTCCCAACCAAAACTTTTGTGCATTGCTCATTCTTACATAAATCTATTTAAAAGTGAAACCTTTAAAATACGAATAGCAGCACTCATGAAATGTGATTTTCCCGTACAGTGAGAAATTGAGTTTCACTCTCATAAAATATAAAATTATAGTTTTACCTATTTAAATATCAGATTTTAGACGAGACAAGAGTAGAGAATCGCTTCTGAAAGTAACTGCATAAATATATGTATTGATGTAACACAAACATGACGCAATTAAGATACAAACAACGCTTCGTGTGAAATCGAGAGACAACACATGTATTGGTCCAAGCTCTTTAATCCTAGAAGTAATGCAGAAATTGTGATGTGACAGCGGGGAAACAACATGGTGTTGTATGACGTCACACTTCTAAGACATTTATAGTTATTCCGTTAGTCATGAAAAACACATTTTAACTCGATAAGTGAATTACATGGATAAAGATATGATAATCTTTGTCAATAAAACGATTTTTTTAGCAAACACAAAACACACTTTGAACTCGACTACAGAACTTGAAAAGTTATCCATAAATGTTTTTAACATGACATCGCCAAGACTTCCGCCTTAACCCTTACAAACTGCTCGTAACGGTCGCTCACCGAAATCGTTTCGGAAATGCGACCCTATCACACAGTGTGTCAAATTCAACACAGGTATCGAACTCCCAGACACTTGACACATCCTGATTCGTAGCCAAAACCAGTTAATTCAAAGCGCTTCACCTCAAGTGTTTACTTCACTTTATAACGCTATGCTGGTTAAATCCTAAGTTTCAAGGAACCATTAGGAAACGTGCTTACTATAACAAAGTTATCTGTAGCGAGTAAGATAAGAACATTTGATAAAATATGTTCATTACCACTTCAGATGGGCGTTTATTTTCCTGCAATCGCTAGTCTGCAGCAAGTTTGGAAAGTGAACATCGCAGCTCGAAGATGGGTACATATTTTTTCGAACTGACTGTCATTGTCGGAATTATACAGTCCGGTACGTATCAATAACACCTTGGAAATAACTCAGCTGCTGTAGCAGGGTTTACCGAAGATTTTTTCAATTATCTTGCTTTGTTACAAAGTCGAAAAGTGCAAGAGTCAGGATGCAATACGAAGAAACCTTACGTGGCCTAGGCCTATTTGCCTGCAGTTGTCATCTGTCTAATGGTTAAAAACAGTTACCCGTGATAGCAAAGAGCCCGTTGAACGTTGTTTTAACCTACCATCTCATACAGTCTGCCGGTATAGTTGTGATTATTTACAGGCTTTTCCATTTCTTAAGACACACGACAAAATGTCTTATTCACAACAACTGTAAGAAGTCAAGTATTGTCAACAAGAAAATTCGATCCAGAATGAGAATTGTGAAGGCAGCTTTCGGTATATTTTAGATGTAAATTCTGCACTGTAAAACTAAATACTGGTAAAAGTTTTAATAAGTTCAAAATCATTAACTTATAGCCTGTAGCTGCTACGAACGTTAACTTTCATAAATCACCGTTGGCTTAAATTCAGTTTGATTATAAGCTGTAACGCTCTTGTAGACATCTGATGTTTGTTTTTTGCGACACTTATCATGAAGAACATATTATCCTAAAAGTGTCTGCTTCCTTACACGTTTGTCCTCCATAAAATTCATTCTGGTACTTATCATTAATCCGCATTGTCAGCAGCTTCATAAGCAAATGGACATGTTCCAGTAGCCTCTTTCGCCTCGAAACTTTTCAGCGTTAGAGTGGACCGCATTATCGGCCGTCTGTGTTACATAGACATTTCTTTCTAGGTGTTGCCTTGGAATGTTACAAATGCCCCATCAATACGAAGGACATCTTTCACTGTAGTGATCCGTTCGTAAACAACAACTACCAAACATCCTGTGCCAAAGACGAAGACGTCTGCCTCAAGATGTCAGTCGGAGGTAAGTTACAAGACTATCAGTGTCTAACATAGGAATGTGTCATAGGACGCTCAAGTAAGTTACAGGTTAACAAATTACGTTACTTCATTGCTTTATAAACTGGTAATATGCTAATGATTACCGATTATTTCTTTCAGATGCGCCAATCGCATTTTATAAGCAAAATTGAATTGTTTTTTTATAACTGGATAGGATTTAAATCACAAAAAGAAAAAGATTAAATTTATTTTCAGGCGTCACTGGTTTAAAAAAATCATAATTAATATTTAAACAACAAATATTCACACAACATAACACATTTTTTCCTTCTTATTCTTACGCGGCTCATACCGTGAATGCAGGAACAATGGCCAGAATACTAATCGTCGCTCACCTGGTCAGAAAATCCACGCTCTATGCAACCCGAAAGTCTATTATTATGTTCACAAGACTCCCACTGAACCCAATCTGAACAACATGCACCAAATCCACATCCCCACAACATTTTTTTAGAATTCATTTTAATATTATTCCATAAACCGCGCCTACGCCTGATACGTTGTCTCTTCCCATCAAGATTTTCGACTAAAATGTGTGAAATTTTGGCTGTCATTTGGGGTGTAGAGCCGTGTAGTGTGATAGGAGATTACCAACGTTTAAGAGGTTCTTGCTCTACAACCCAGACGACAGCTATCTTCGTACTCGCCGCCCTAAGAACCTCAATTTTAATTTATCCCATGCTCACTACATGTCCCTTTCATCTCACCCTCCTTTATTCTGGGACTCTAACAATATCTGACGACGAATACAAACTACGATGTTGTTCATTAATTAATTCCCTCACACCTCGTGTTCTTTCCTTTGTTTTCATAGCAACCTCTACTCAGACACTCTCAATCCATGTTCTTCCAACGAATATCGACTGCAGACTTGTATTAGTTAACCATATATTTATCGGATAAATTTAAACTTCTCCGTATCTAATTTCATAAAATTCTTAAAAACCTGCCTCCTTCCACAAAGAGATGCATGACCTAAGTTTTGGATCCCATTAAAATCTAGAATTTTAATTAGACATGTTTTTAGAATTTTACATAACTTACGAAATAAAAATTTCTTACACAGTAAAATATTTACTGCTGATCAATTTTGTCAAACAGCGAAGTTGAATCTGAATTAATACCAAAATAACTAAATGGGTACTGGGGTAGAGTACTCCATCATTTAACACAACTTTAAATGTTCTTACATTTGGCTTTTCGCTTACTCGATAGGAATCAACAATCACATAGAGGAGCGAGGATGTGCAAACAGGGCTTCAGTGGAAACAATATGCAACAGAGTGAAGCAGAACTTCCCTCCTGAAGACGTAACCTGTGAACTGTGCCAAACCGACCTTTGTAATGGTTCCAGTCGACAAGAAAATGCGAGTCTACTCTACTTTCTACCTCTGTGCTTCTTGATAAAGAATATCCGTATTCAAATAACATAACATCATACTTACAGCTTCAAGTTCAGTGACTGATTGGAACTTCGTAAATACGAATTTAAAAGCTTGTAGAAGCCAAATAATACCACGTGATATAATTAAATTCACCAATTAGTGGCCTTCTTGAGAAACAGACAGTCGTTTATTTGATCGAGGAATTTCCCCTTTTAAGAAATTCAACGATTTATTAGACAACCCACCAAACTCCATTTCTTTGTGGACAAATTAACATCAAACTCCCATCTCATGAGCTTTCTCTTTCGGATTATCCGATCAAAATTGCATATCGCTCTCCAAGTATGTTCTATAACCCCTCCATCTCGTCATTTTTCGATTTGATCATACTAACATTCGGCGAATAGTACAAATTACGAAGTTTCTTCTAACCTCCAATTACGTCCTCTATATAAAAGAACAAGTCGCCCTGATGTTGGAGGCAGCAAGGAACTCTAAAACGTCGGTAAACTTCTACCAGACGACACGGCGCTACAACCCAGACCTTAACAAACCGCATAAGTTAAAATAAAAGAGCTCAGAAAAGAGATGTAACCTGGAAGAACCTGTATTAAAGTTGAAGTATAGTAGCCATCACACAATTGCTTGCTTCAAGGCCACAGTAGGACTTAGTCCCTTCCCCCTTTCCGTGCAGACCTAAGTGCTAATAGGGTGTTGCTAGCTTCGCTACACTGCTAGTTCTGAACTTTCTTTACTCGTGTTGCAACGCTACATAATTTTCATGTGACCTTGAAGACTATGATTTGGTGACGGCTACTATAAAAAAGCTATTATTCAGCTTTCAGTAATGTAAGTCACAAGTGAATAAACAATAAAAATAAATAAGTTAATGAGAAATTACAGAAAAAAAAATTCTGTGCGAAGCATTCTGCACCACAAATCTGAATATCACGTGTACTACGACTTTTTTGGAAGGTTATATAAAAAACTGTACCAAAGTGTGCCCGGGAGGTATCCAGTTTAAACGTCAGCCAAGCACTAACTATACTGACTGAAAATATATGTAATTTTTCCTCAGTCCTTCCAGACGAATCCCTAGAAAGTGTATTACAATAGTCGCAACCAGTGCACTCTCTCCTCCCAAATTCGCCTTACATAATTATCTTCAGGAATTAGCTCTTCAGAAGAGAGCGTAGTAAAAAGCATGCGAGGCAACGTTATGGATACACAGCAATCTTGTCATCTCCTGTGTACTAATTCTATTAAAATTATCTCGAGCTACGATAAGCCAACCTTGTCATGTTTAATAGATTCTGGGTAAAATGTAGAGCGGAGAAACTGTAAGAACGGGTTTTACTCTTACATTACACTAATATTCCACCTTCAAGTGTGAGTGTAACAATCCCGACTCTTTAACAAACTCCAACCAGAACACCCGGGCTGGTACAGCACGTCGAAATTCATTCTTTCAGCGGACACGCAGTAATGAAACCAAAGTTCAGGGCAAAAAATCCATTCAGTGTAATTTGTACTTCATTTCCGGTTTATTTAACGATGCTAACAGCAGCTCACACTACACAGATATATTCTTAATTACGTGTAAAAAAGTAGCTTTTAGAGATCGTAGTCTATTGCCAAAGTCAAGGAAAAAATTTCCTATAAAGATAAGGTCGTAATCATTTTGCTAGCGAAATCCGTCAGTCAGGATTGCTTGTCTCCGTGTCAAGATTTAAACATGAAACCTCACAAATACGAATCAGGATTGTTAAAAAGTCGAACGCAACGTTTGACAACAGTGTAATATCTGTAGTGTTAATTACGATAACACTTAAGTCTCTGTATTTTTGATTAGCTGTGCCAACAAAATTGTTATATCAGATATAAATTATCATCAGGATGAGGGTGTTTGCCTCTCCACCACCACGTTCAGACAGGCTCTAGGGCAAACCCACACACACACACAAAATGTATACCA